CCCTCGTGCAAACATCCCTCGTGCCAATGACCCTCATGCAAAGCTCCCTCGTGCAAAGCTCCCTCGCGCCGACATCCCTCGTGCAAACATCCCTCGTGCAAACGGCCCTCGTGCCAATGCCCCTCGTGCAAACACCCCTCGTGCAAACATCCCTCGTGCAAATGACCCTCATGCAAAGCTCCCTCGTGCAAAGCTCCCTCGCGCCGACATCCCTCGTGCAAACATCCCTCGTGCAAACGGCCCTCGTGCCAATGCCCCTCGTGCAAACACCCCTCGTGCAAACATCCCTCGTGCAAATGACCCTCGTGCAAAGCTCCCTCGCGCCGACGTCCCTCATGCCGACGACCCTCGTGCAAATGACCCTCGTGCAAAGCTCCCTCGCGCCGACATCCCTCGTGCAAACATCCCTCGTGCAAACGGCCCTCGTGCCAATGCCCCTCGTGCAAACACCCCTCGTGCAAACATCCCTCGTGCAAATGACCCTCATGCAAAGCTCCCTCGTGCAAATGTCCCTCGTGCAAAGCTCCCTCGTGCTAACGACCCTCGTGCAAACGACCCTCATGCAAACGTCCCTTGTGCAAATGTCCCTCGTGTAAACGTCCCTCGTGCAAATGTCCCTCATGTAAACGTCCACGCCCCTCGTGCAAATGTCCCTCATTTCCCTTATGCAAATGTCCCTCGTGCCAACGCCCCTCGTGCCAACGCCCCTCGTGCAAATGTCCCTCATGTAAACGTCCCTCGTGCAAAGCTCACTCGTGCAAACATCCCTCGTGCAAGGCACCCTCGTGCAAATGTCCCCGGTGTGAGGCGCCCTTATGCAAAGCTCTTTTGTGCAAACATCCCTCGTGCCAACGCCCCTCGTGCCAACGCCCCTCGTGCAAAGCTCCCTCGTGCCGACGTCCCTCGTGCCGACGACCCTCGTGCAAACGGCCCTCGTGCAAAGCTCCCTTGTGCCAATGCCCCTCGTGCAAACATCCCTCATGCCAATGACCCTCATGCAAAGCTCCCTCGTGCAAAGCTCCCTCGCGCCGACGTCCCTCGTGCAAACATCCCTCGTGCAAA